TTTACTGTGTATGTGCTTTTTAGATCTTTGTGATATTCACAGGAAGAAACGTGTGTGTTGGTGCTGTTTTGCAGATCGGTAATGCTCGACCGAGCTGAGACGCTCCTTCATGATCACTATTCTGGGAAAGATTACTGGGATGTAAGTCAAGTATTTGGCTCATACAGATAAATTATTTTACAGATATATTGGTAGTATTGCTGTACTCTCACAGAAAATGTCATATAACATGGAACTAGACTTTTACACTTTCAACCTGAGGGTTTAAGGCACACCATCTTGTCTGTAAGCTGATATAGGAATCTCTGTCTGTCTTTAACTAAGACCCGCCGCAGCATGGTGTTTGCCAAGCACCTGCGACTCATAGGAGATGACTTCAGAGCAAAGCACCTGAACTCTACGGATGAGAGAGATTACAGCGTMMATAGCGAGGACTGGACTCGCATGAAAGTGAGTGAGTGTGTCTGACAATGACCTCTTAATGTCTCTCTCTTTCTCTCTCTCAGACACACACACTACAGTGACAGTTTAGATGTCGATTTATTTGAAATGACGCCACTATATCAACACTGATCACCTTGTGAGGATCAATACTTTTCTTAAATGAGTAAAATCTTTCTTCATAGCTGCACACTCATTCATAAGAGCATCCACTCGCTCTCTTCCTCTCTCTCTCTCTCACTCTCTCTCGCTGACAAACACACACACCGACAAAATCCCACACATTCAAACTATGTGATCTAACATGTGTAAACTCAGACTGGGTAAAGCAACAGAATTTGTAAACTTGGTCAATGTATGGAGAGTCGGAGAAGATGGTGGGGCGCACTCAGTTTGGCTTCGATTTACGATGTATTTACGAAAAGTCCCAAAATGAACACTGCAAGTGGATTGACTGATTTACTATAACCAAATTATATTAATTCTGTCCCAAGCTTTTTGATCCATATCCATGATCACCATTAGCAATTTACACTGTATTAGTTAGAACATTTTGTCTCAAGTTTTAAGCATTGATTCAACACTGTTTTGACATTTTTTAATTATCTTCAGGCCAAGCTGGGTTCAGCAAAAGGGGGTCCATATCTGGGGGTGCACCTGCGCAGGAAGGACTTTATCTGGGGTCACAGAGAGGATGTACCCAGCCTTAAGGGGGCCGTCAAAAAAATGCGCAGTTTGATGAAGAAGCACAAACTCGACAAAGTGTTTGTTGCAACAGATGCAGATGAAGAAGGTAACAACACGAAAGCATAAATCTCTTTTTGATAAAAAAAATAAATTTTGGTTCAAAACCATTTCAAATGTAACGGACAGAATAGAGCATAATAATGATATTAGTAAGTAGCAGTAGCATATCCATGAACTCTGTTAATTATTTCCTAAGCTTGTGTCATGTAATCTTATAGAACTGAAGGAGCTGAAAAAGTTGTTGCCAGACATGGTGCGGTTTGAGGCGTCCACAGACGACCTGGAGCTCCTCAAAGATGGAGGAGTGGCCATCATCGACCAGTGGATATGTGCTCATGCGAGGTAAATTTGGTTTCATAGTTTAGTTGTATATATTCACGTTTTATTTGATAATTTACAGTCAACTGCTGCCTATTCTGTCTAAATAATTCTGATCTGTCTTGTGTGGATATGAGTTTCTATATATACAAAAATTGCTTTATTTGTTTTTATATCCAACACCATCATCATTGAAATAGTATGGTTTTTTATAAACAGCAGATCAAATGAATTGGTCCAGTTCTTTAGTTTATGAGCAAATACCTACAACACGACCCTCCCATTTGTTTAGTCCAACTAGGACAGTGATCAAATGGTGTTCAATAATTGAGCAGCCTTGTCACTAATGCAACTGGAAAATATTTCAACTAGAAAAACTAGTTCGGGTGGCTGTTCAAACTATTCTCACTGTGTCAAATGTACATGTACCTTTCCAAGTGTACATATCTTAGTGTGTTTTGTAATACCTATTCATCAGTGTTTTTCTGTTTTCAGAGTCTTCATCGGAACATCTGTGTCCACCTTCTCTTTTCGGATCCACGAAGAGAGGGAGATCCTGGGTTTTGACCCCAAAACCACATACAATCGTTTCTGTGGGGACAGTGAGAAAGAATGCGAACAGCCCACACACTGGAAAATTGTCTTTTAATGTGACCTCTGACTTTCCTGACACACACAAGTGCCAAAAAGCAGTGTTAAAATTACATTTATTTCTATGGATTATAGCAGAAGGATATTTTTACTGTATTATGGTGATTTTCTTTTTAGATGTTTTAGAGTTGTGCAATCAGGTCTGTTGTGACCGACGTGTCTGAAGCTCAAAAAGCAGAGGCCAGGCTGCCAAAACCACAATTAAATCTGCGTATGTTTTTCAGGTTGTATGTAGTTTCCTTCATCACACTCTGGTGTTTTACATCATTTCTAGTATTTATTACAAACACCAGCACGATGGGGGGAAGCCATGCACAAAACATTCTCTAGCCTTTGCACAAACTCAAAAAAAATATGTCCACTTGGTACTTTTCCAATAGAAGACAAGACTTGAGCTAATGATTCTTCGCTCAGGATCTGCTGAAAAGAAGTTATTTTCTGTCACTGTATTTCAGCGTCAAGTCTTTGCACACCAAGTCAATATTTTTCATCCAAAGCTGTCGCACAAAATTAATATGACTGCATGTTCTGTCAACTTTTTGTTTGTAGTTTCAGGTTTCAGCTGTCAAAGGCTTTTCAGAGAGTTGTTAAAGCTGTACTGGATCAGTTGAATCACAGAAATGTTTTTTTTTTCTTTACAATATTCGGTGTCAGTGCTGCATGGTTCAACCTGGACCACTGATATCTTGAAATAGACTTGGAGACAATCGGGAACATTTTGCAGCTCTTTGATCTGAAGGTGAAATTCTGCCTGGTCCTGACAGCTCTCAGGATTGAATGGACCCAATGTTTTCTTTTCTTTTCGAGAATTGAGAGGAATCACAAAATCAGCCTCACTGCTCGACTCCTTTTTATCTACTACGGTGAAGTTTTGGAACAAATACAATAATAAAACACTTCAGATTTAGTGAGCTGGGTTTCTGTGTGTGACTCTTTTTATTGGGTGATATTGGACTTGGAAATATGGACTCTGTGTGCAAAGACCTTTAGTGTGGGACAACTTTCCTCCCTTTGTTACTTGTTGTTATGCCACACCAGTATGAACATTTGTTACCTGGGATTTTCATTACAGCATTACTGATTTTGAAAAAGTTCCAAATATGGCAGAAAAACCTTTCTTATGTATTTTGAATCGTGATGCTCAATTGCCTCCACATTAAAAACACAAACTGCACTGTATATTTTGTGTATTATTATAGTGTAGTTGATAATGATACTGATAAGGAAATACTTTGAAATGACAATGAGGAGTTTCCTGTGAACAATAGACAGCCATCAACCTGTGATCTTATAACACACCTTTTTTCCATTCCTGACATTGCAATTGTTTTGGTAGAATCTATCTGATGTGGGTATCATGTGACTCATTTGTATTGTTATTGGTGTGCTTGAAATGATGAAATGTCCAACACCTCTTCTTGTCCCATGATTTACCTTGTGCAATGACTCAAGTCTGAGAAAATGTCCCTGTGGACAACTCACTGGCACGAAGAAACATTTTTCTCACATATTATCATCAAGATGGAAAACCAGTGTGACTGCCGTGGTGATGGAATTCTGTGTGTCCTTTCAAACAGTACAGTCTGTGTCAAGTGTCACCTTTGCCTTTGAATCACCTACGAGGTTTTACACAGTGATTTTCCTGTGTGTCTGGAAACAGAAAGAATCTGAGTTTGAAAGAGTTGGTTAAATGTTTCGGTCTAAAAAGGACTTTACAGGCTTTAGTGTCCTGTGTGTGAAAGCTAATGCTTGACATTGAAAACTCTGTTATGTCAGTGCGCATTGTCTTCCCCAGCAGCTGTGTTCATACACACTCCAATTATCCATTTATTGGTTGTTGCATTGTCATTTCCCGTCAGTTCACTTTTTAATTTCCTGTCTTTGCCCTCTTCAACACACTGCAGTCACAAGATGTGCGTCTAGAGAGTTCAAGACATTGTTTTTACCTCTCCCTGTGGAAACACCACATGATATCAGTGTGACTTTCCCCTGTGGAGGCCAGCACCTCACCGACAACACAGCCCACTTGTGTAATTGATCGCACTGCTTGGTGTCAACCCATTCCCTCTAAGTCCAGGTTCTCGTGGAACAGTGATGAAGACGTTTTGGGACCTTATAGCCTGTGCTCCTAAACTACGATGGCCCTGAAGTGCAAATCACAACAACACATTACAGAAGACAAAGACAAATCACTGCATACAAATCACCACTGATTGGATGGATGCACTTTTATATGTTTCCTGATTTCTTGTTGTATTTATACAACTTATTTGCCATTCTTTTTTCATTATTTGCCATTGTGTTTTTTCATTCGCTATTTTTCTTATTTGCCATTGTGTTTTGTTGTTATTTCTTATTTCACATTGTATTGTCCTTTTTTACAAGTGTTTTTTGTGTTCTCCTTATTTTCCATTGTGTATGCATAGACTGTATAAAATCAAATCATAAATCATAAATACGCATCAGTTTTTTGCTGCTGTAATTTGTCCTTCAGGGCAACCATACTAATCACATAACTATATATTATATAAAAAAAAGAAGCCTGTACTCACCCAGAAGTCTATGATTTCAAATCATGCATCGCTTCAGGACAACTTCAAGACAAAATGGATGACCAGATGTAACAGAGGTGGATTATTACAAAGCACATTTTGGTTATTATAATAAAAAAAACATATATACATGATTCAAATGGTTAAATACATATGAATGACTTGGCACTTTTGTCCAGCAACATCCAGTTGCAATCAGTACACGCCCTCCTCCACAGATGCACACACGCACGCACAGACACAGGCAGGTGGAGCTGCAGGAGGTTCCGGCGTCAGTCAGGTTCAGGTTGTTATCACGTTCAGCCGCAGCGTCACTGATGAGAGATTTTTAACTTTTAGTTTTCCACATTTGCGACTTTGACTGTGATTTATTTTCCTGTTTTTCTCCACCAACCGACCGATGGAAAGGACATCCTGCTAGATCCACCTGGCGACATGTCCTGCACACAAAACCTGCGATCTACCGTCAGTTAACAAAGCGTCTGAGACAGGACTGACACAGAGGAGAAGCAGCCAGGTGAGTCCTCGGGTCTGTTGCTGAATCATTGAGTCATTATTAAGAGTCAGTACTCTGCCTCTCAGAAACTCCTTCCATCCATGTGGCCACTTGTAGTTCACTGGAATTACTTTCACTTTGATTTAGAAAAAAAAAAGATTTAAAAATCAGATTACTGCAGAAGTCCATTCCTGTTCCTGAGCTTTCTATTACACCATTCTTTTAAGGAAAGTGTTATCTCAAAAAAGAATGGACTTATAATCTTAAATGCATTATATATCATGGAACCATGCTGATACATACTGTATTATCAGAAGTAGTAATAGTATTAGTATTATTGTGTAGGGTTTTTGATTAAATTAAACATCTCAAGGACCAAACACTAATTCATTATGTGGAGTCATTCTAAAAGTTTAAAGAAAGAATTTGTTAGTGGACTCTTCATATTTTTATTTATGTGTATAATGTGTCTTGATTCCAGCCTCCTCCACTGATGGCCTTCCTCCAGCAGCTTCGGCTTCTTCTCTGGAAGAATGGACTGACTGTGATCAGGCAGCCGGTGAGTGACTTCCAGTTATTTTACTTTTATATAAGTGCAGAGATTTGTATTTAAAGCAACACTATGTAACTTTTAATGAGCAACAGCGCACGTCAACCACACGTGATGAAAAGTGGTTTTTGTGTCGTTTAAAAACAAAGTCTATCCAAGCTCTCGACCGGAGCACTGCCTGCGTAGTTACATTCACACAACACAACTGAACGGAGCTGCTGCTGTTACAAAAACACCAAACTCTGTTAAGAATCCTTCGTATTTCAAAAGTTTCCTTGCTGAATTTCAGAGATAAATGCCATTTTTTTATGATTTCTAAGTCTTTTTAATTGAGTTACAGTTCGGTATTAAATCTCATTTACGATCATCATTAGATACGTTTAGGAAAACAGGCAGAACCCTCTGTCCGTACTCTGCGCTCATTTCGTCCATACTTGCACACGTCTTCTCAAAGCCTAAAGATATGGATGACAGAGAAGACAGGGAGCAGTACCACAGGAAATCACAGGGGGCAGTGAAGCCAATAGTTCAAGCGAGGGACCATAAGTTGTTTATTTGCTCTCCGAGGGGGGGCTAACTCTCCCACACTTTGAAAACCTCTAGTGGATTGCCTACCATGCCAACCTAAAGGACACATAAAAGTATTTGGGCATTGGCGGTTATATAGTTTGGAACGGACGTATCACTTTCCCTCTGAAAGGCAGCATTAATGAGCCGTGACTCATGGACCTGGGCCTGATTCTGGAAATTGAATCTGCGACAGTAATGCACTTTTCACAGGAGGTCATTCCTGTTTACAAGTTAGATAAAGCAAGAACAGACATTGAGGGAGAGGAGAAACTAAATCATCTCCATTCTAACTATTTCACATCAGTGAACCATTAGAGTTGTTTTGAAGTTGCTGTGTTACGAAAAAAAAAAAGGGACACAGTGCTGCTTTGATGTCGGCTTTAAAGAAAGACCAAGCGGAATATTCAGCACCTTTACTGCAATGAACACTTCATATACGCAGTATTAACGTTTTATGATATTTTGTGTTGTAGGTATGGTCCCTGACTCTCATTATCTGGCCCCTGATCATCTTCATCATCATTGCTGTGACCCGCAACCAGTTTCCTCCGATAGTAAAAGAAACATGTAAGTGTAAAAGTCACGCATTGAAGAAGAAAGAGTGCCTCGAAGCAGGTCACCTGTTTGCTTAACTATGTATGTTCTAATAATACGTCAATCACAACACAATGGTTTCTTGACTTTTGGAGTGCTGTGTTTCTGTTCGAGGAACCACATGTTTGGAGACTTTCCAATTTCGCTACAGTGTAAATAAAAGAAGTGCAACACAAACCCGAAGAGTGTTTTCCCTTCCGTGTTTGTTTAAAACTATCAACGAAGAGAATGTTTATTCGTCTGGAAAGAATGAGGACAAAGGTGCTGGAGGGAGTGCTGGATAGCAGGAAGGGTAAAGGCTTTGCAACCCACTCATGAGAACATTCTCTCTGCCTCTTTCATTTTCTAGTTATTCTGGTTCTTTAACCGCTAAAGTTGCAACATCACTAAACTACACTGGATCACTGTATCAGGATCCATCCAAGAAAATGTCAGCCTCTTGTATATGTACCCATTTGTCTTTATGTTTCAGTAGAGTGACATGTTCAGTAAAATTAAAGGACCATGTTACAGTTTTTAACTAAAATACTCACCCCCCCCACCTGTCTTTCTTTGTTCTTTGTCGTTTTTGCTGGGTCACACATGTAATTTAATAACCCCACTGTGGACTAATAAAGAAACGGAGCAAAAGGAGCATCCAGCTTAGTGTTGTCTCGTAAATTGTTTGTTTCAGTGCGTGTTTCAAAACAGGGACAGTGGAGAACCACACCTTAAAACAGGTTACAAAACCATTGTCAGTATCCGTCCAACACTAGCCATGAATCGTAACACACAGAGTGGGATGAAAGCAGTCTAGAAGGTTTACAACATGTATTGTTATTTACCATTGTTGGACAGTAGTAATGCTCCTAAATAATTTGATGCCTCACATGTTTTCATTGCGAAGGAGTATTTACAGAGCTATGCATACAAATGTGATCCATTTATTGATTGCCAGTTTTTTTATTCTCTCTTCTCATAAGAAGATGAGTTACCACATCCTCTTATGTAAATTATACATTGATTCTACACAATTGGCTGTGTGAGTGTAAAGATTAACTGACGTCATTCAGGTGTTAATGCAATCAAGGTTTCATAATTATTTCCTTGCCTGCCATGACTAAGCATTCATGCTGTTTGCTAGATCATTATTTTCATTCAGAGAAATCTGTTATGCCAAGTTGATAAGTCGCTTTCCAAGAAAATATGAACAGCAATGCGTGCCACGGCAGCACCGCACCATGCGGTCAGTCCGGTCGCAGTGACTCAAATATAACTTGATCTCGCCTTTTAGGTCTTAACTATCTTTTGTTCTGAATTTAAGAAACAGCTGAGATTGTTATCAGACAATAGATGGTATGAGTTACCCACGGGTTGTGACACAGAGATTAGAAAAAACAAATCGTAGGAATATTTTGCCTAGAAAGTTTTTTCAGGCTCATGGTGGTCTACAAAAAAAATCCACCAACAAAAAACAAATCATGAGGCGCGTAGAGCAGAAAAACACGAGTGTGAAAAAATGTCTCTCTTATTAGAAAAAAAACCAATAAGCAAACAACAAGAAATAAGCTTTTTAACATCTAACCTTTGCAAAAAAGTTACTTCTTGAACACAGTGATTATGATTGATTGCTGCACTGTTGAAAAAAATCCCTGTGGCATCATGATGTGGAAATGTTGTCACTTGTTATTTCTGTGTTCTAATTTTTGTTTGTTAAAAAACATATTTTTTGACTTTGAAAGCTAAACCATGAAAACTTTTCAGATCCTGTTTAGCCTTTTGTAATATAAATCTTTAACAGTTTATGTATTATTATGTTAATAATATTTGTTTACTAGCTACTTATAGTTAATAATATGATTTTTACTTGAATGTAATATTTTGGACTTGTAATCTGACCTAAACTCATTTAAAGTAGTCTACTGCATTTTTCTTTGCCACATTCGTATAATGGACATGTTCTCCTGGGATTTTGAAACTGTTTTTAAATGTTTGTGGTGTATTAAAGTGTCCTTCCCACAGCCACAACTTTGTCATGTCTCCTCCAGGTTATGTTGGACCCAGGAACCTGCCCAGCACAGGTTTCTTCCCTTTCCTGCAGACCCTCATGTGCAACACGGACAGCAACTGTCACAACAAGTCTCACCTGGTGGACTCTGCTGCATCAAAGTCTCAGAAAACTGCAGCCAGGTAACCCCTCTCATTAATAATATAAATGATCTATTACCTGTTTTCTACGTCTTATCTCAGTGCATACATTTGAGTTTACTGCTTCATTGAACTTTTTTACCTCAAATGTATTGTAGATATGTATCAAAGGTGTACAGGAGACCCTTGAATCACAGAGGAGGGACACACCTCAGCATAGCAACATCACATGAGATGATTATGCGCATGGAAATAAACCAAAAACACATGTTCCCCTGTGGAGGAAGGGACATCTCTTACCTAATCACAGAAAGTTGAATACAACTTAGTCATTTCCTTTATTCTCTTGTCTACGATTTTTCTTATGTTGCAAAAACTGTCTGTGAAGTTTAAAGGAATGCGGTCGTTGCAGAGATCTGTTTGTCTGACGTAAACCTACTGATGAGTGATGGCTTTTGCAAATCCGAAGGACAGCTAATATTAGAACAAATACCTTTGTTTTGTATTTAAGAGCAAAAGCCCTGCTGCATATTTTAGAGTGCCTTTGTTCCACTCGCTTTTGTAACTGACAGGTTTTTATCATAGTGTTTTTCCAAAGTACAAAATGTTTTTGGACATAAATGTATAACTGTAACTGTAGTGGATTGGAAAATGTAATCATTGTTGCCCTTTTAACCAACAAAAAATTAGTTTTGGCTACTAGCTCATGATCAAAGCCTTATGGAAGCAAATACTAATAAAAAAATTGTTCCAACATTGACATGTTATTCAAATTATACTCTTCAGTACAGCACAGTTGTAAGAATTAGCTAAGTGAAACAACCGCCTTGGGAGACATGCAGCTTTTCATAGAGCTCAGACCTTCTGTGTTAAGATTTTTTTAGATTTGTTTTGTTTTGTTTAGTTTAAAATAAAATGAAATGCATTCAATGAAATGTCTTAACTGCTTCATCTGACTCTGTATGACAGGTCATCACTGCTGACGAATGGCTCTCCACTGGCAGGCCTGCTTAAAGGGGATGATTTTTTGGGGTTTTCGTTCCCCAAATTTGACAAACAAAATGATCCTGTAGCACTGATCCAGGCCTTCACCAGGATTGTGGGTAAGTCGTCCCCATCATACACCCTATTCTCTGTTTTTACAATGTCAAAAACATATTCTATTCTTCATATCTAAGTTTCTTACTTGCAGACATGGACCCCCCATAGAACTTATTTAAATCAATAGTTTGACCACCCGTTACCTGTCTTTTTGCTGAGCTGATCTACAACTCTCCATTTAGAGAGTAGTAGTAATGTTTTCTTCCAACTCTTGACAGCAAAGCAAGTAAACATACAATCTTTCCTCAAATATTGAACTATTGTGTAAAAAAGTACACTTTGCAATCTCGTTTGCCCATTTAATCCAAATAATAGACTTTGTCCTACTCAAGTCATTTTTCAACAATATGTTCTTTTGTTTAAGGTTCACCTCATCAACAAAGTCCTAAAAATGTCTCCTTCATCAACACCACTCTTGTGGGAGATCAGGTGAGTGATCATAATGGAAAAAACAAAAGTGCAGAGGATAAGGAAACGTTTGTTTCCTTGCTGTCACAGTATTTTCTTTATGTACGGGTTATTGTTTACAACAGACAAACCCCCATTCTTTGATAAAGGCTTATAATAAGGCCTTGTTGGCTTTGCTGATAGTAGAACAAATGCAGGCTGATGTAACAGGGGTGCTTTTAATAAAAAATATCAGACTCACAGGCAGAGCGGTGAGCAAGCAGGCAGATACAGACAACAGGTTTCCAAAGAAGAGGTTACAGATAAAAAGGGAACATGCTGAGGAAAAGGAACAGATGATTCAAGAAGGAGCAAAGGAAAAAAACAGGCCTGCAGGAAAACCTTAAAGAAGCTCCTGATGAATCTCATGAAGTCTCCTGAAGATACGCACAGTGACAAACTCTGTGACTCAGAGCTGTAAAACTGTAGCTCATGTAAGGTTTCCTGTCCCAAACAGAATCACAGCTCCTAAGAGAGGATGATATCAATCGTCTACTTTTAATTAGCAATTAAAAATTCAGGAACTGACAATACAACATTTTAGGATTGAAAATTGGAAATTATATAATAACATGAGAGCAATATATCTATCCATTCATCCATCATTAATAAAAAAATAATAAGGACGGGATGAGAGAACATGATTTTCAGACATAAATATATATATGAGGTTACCTGTCATTTTTAGTGTATTTTCAAAATTAGATTTAATGAAATTACATTTTTAACAAGAAATTCAATGAGTTAATTTTTCAACATGATAGAACCAGTTGGAATTGAAAGAGAGTAACTCTATATGGATCATTTGAGGATATCCATAAGTTTGTATCACTAGTATTTAATGGGTGCTCTGCTGTTTCTACATTACTGTGGGTGTGCCCTGGTAAAACTTCAAGGAATTGTGGAACGGCATTATCTCTTTTCCTTTTGAAAAGGATGGCCCAGTGTATTTGTAAGGATGCATTGAGGAACCTTTTCTTTTTTCATTTAGAGAATTCTACCAGCCGTGAGTATGGTCATTTCACACAGTTGAATGCAGGTGTTTACACAATAACATGCGGGCGGAGAAGCTCAGATGACAGTGAGTCGGGAACAGGTGTGTGGAGGGGCGGGGCAGACAGGTGAATGGGAACAGGGTGGACAGACGGAGGACATTACTTGGATCAGAGGCAGGTTAAAAACACTTTCTGAGAAAAATGAGAAGGGGCTAAAGACAAGGAGCAGAGGGGAGAAAGAAGAAACACCAGCCTCAAAACTGTCCTAAAGCAACAGGAGATAAAAATCAAAGAAAACTGTATTTGAAATGACACACAACAAACACTACTACTGACATCACTACTTAACCAATATATATTTATTTTTACTGCATCAAAACTGATCAAGATTTTGCTTGAAGTCTCAGCTTGGTTAACAGTCAAGTCCACGTCCGTCTCAAGTTCTGACTTAAGGTGAACACAAATCCAAATCTCATAGTAGAGCAAGAAATAAGCTGATAGATTTGTCAATTTCACCCATATGTAATTAATATTATTTATGGTAAAACTTACTTTAAACACTGTTATAAACTTCCACCTCATTGTGTATGGATGTATGTGGATGGTGTGTTTGATAAGTGTTATTATTGCATCTGACATGAATATTTTAATCTTATGGCAAAATATCACATGATATCACATGATAATATTCAGCATAGCTTCATTCATTGGCCTGCTAGTTAAATATTTGACATGTTGATATTAAAACGATGCTTCACACTTAGATATTTTGTGTAGTGTTATTCATACTCTCCAGTTATTTGGTAGGTAATACATATGTGTAGAAATAATTGTTCTTTGTATACTGATGATATTTGAAGTGTAAAGAATTTATTCTGAAGTTGCCAACGCTGTTTTTGTTCAGAACATCTAATGATATTTTGTGAATGAATTATTTGTTATAATTTATTGAATGAATGCCTTCACCTCATGTCCTTTGCAGGAGAGCTTCAACAAAATGCTGGAGTCAGTGAGCGTCTTGAAGAGAGCCATCTGCACCATGATACTTCCCATGATAAACACAACCATGCCTGACCCCCTCACCACTTCTGTGATCGCTTTCTGCAAGACCAACAACACCGTGTTAGAGGTGTCACTCCACACACTCAACCAGGTATGCGTGTGTGCGTGTTTGTGGTCACAGACAAATGTCGCACAACCTCATTCCAAGTCTTTTGTGCTGTTACACAAGCTGGTGCCGCCGGAATGATTTTATTAACTCTGAGATGGCCACTGGTTGTCAGGTGCTGTCGGAGCTGATGCAGACGAAACCAGACGAGATGATGAAGGTGGGCGGGCTGGTGGTGATGGTGTTCAATCAGCTGCAGAATCAGACCTCGCTGTGGGAAAGTCTCCTCGTTCTCCCCCAGCTCTTCTCCAATGGTTCTTTCGACCAAGGGCTGCGCAACACAGAGGTTCTGCTCACCAACATACAGGGGTAATGTACTGTGATGGAGCAGTTTAGCTTAGCTTAGCTTAGCTTAGCTTAGCTTAGCTTTGCTTAGCTTTGCTTAGCTTAGCTTAGTTTAGTTTGCGGTGATAGACAGGTTCAAATAAAAAGACACCGTTTTAGGGCCCTATTGAAGAAAAAGTTCTTTGGGATTTTTCTAGAATTAAGTTATTATATGACATGATAGATTGTTCAGTCATAAAAGATGCTTTAAGTTCCCAATTTCCTGATACCGGGTGAATCCCTATGATTTAAATTAAAATGTATGACTAATGATGGGGTGATTTGTTATAGTTTCAATTATATTTTGACCTTTAGAAACAGCCTGAGGAAAAAACAGGTTCGTTTTTTGAGCTGTGCTAGAATGAATACTGTTCAGGTTTCGAGCTCAGTTTTACAACCCACAATACCTGTGATTCACAGAAGGATTAGGATCAGCAGGGGGTAAAATGTGCGTGTTTGTGTAATTGTTAGTTCTGTTAGGTGTTGCTGCTCGTCCTGTCTTGTTTGGGCATTTAATGTTTTTTTCCCTTGTGGTCTGTCTAGTGCTCTTCTTGTCATCCAGAAGAACTTCCCTGAAACCAGTGCCACACTTTCCACCGTGCATCCAGTGTTTGCTGGAGGCATCAACGTGATTCGCTATATTCAAAACTGGCCTGGCAAAGGTAACACCATGAGCCTTAGTAGTGCTTATACTCTATATGTCTCCCACAAAGAGAGATTTAGAGTGTTTTTACTTACATTTTCATAAATATGTTGCTAAATAAACCACTATTCACTGATATCTCTATTGTATATTTTCTGTTGGATGTTGGATTACAAGTTCCTGCTGTTTTAGGGGAGCTCCAATACAAACTGACCTTTGAAATCATACGCCATTATGTGTAACATCTGACCATGTTGTCTGATTCCGTTTAGTTGTGACCGTTTCCCTCGGAGACGTCGTCACCTTGCAGAATGACTCAATTAGTGAGGTGGTGAAAAGTGTTCTACAAGAGGTCGAGATACCACTGGACCAGGTACGTGCTGACCAAAGTCATTATAGTACATCCCCATGAAGTATACTGGAGGAAGAAACTCACTCTACATAAGTAGCTCAAAGGGGACATGTTATGCTACTTCAGTTTTTTCCCCTCGTGTTCTGCAAAGTTATAAAGCAAAAAGCTCCTCTCCCCCACAGAAAACACTCCTGAAACACCTCATCAATTATCCAGTTGATAATTCCGCATCATTGTGATGTAATGTGACTATACAATGCATATTTTTTTTAAAGATTTGCATAATGCACACCTAGCAGCTAGTCGGGCATGCCCTCTGTCAAAGCCACGTAAAGGGACAATGGAGACCGACATTTCCTACACACACTGGAAGTGGTTGACCACTCACAACAGAGCAGGACATTTGGCCAATTAGAGCACACTGGGCTTTATCGAGAGGGGGGGTGGGGGGTGGGGGGGTGGAGGGGCTTAAAGAGACAGAAGCTAAAACCTGACATTTCAGATAGAGGCTGAAAAGAGGAGCTGCAGCAATGGACAGTTTGAGGAAAGTGATGTGTTTTCTGAACATTTGAGCTTATATCCTTTTCAAGTAATAACATAAATATATATGATGAACCTGAATATGTTTATAATATGTCTCCTTTAAGTATTTGATAATCCAAGGTTATTGCAATCAACTTATACTTATTTGAATTGATCTGAAAATATGCACTTTCTCTGGAATTGCTCAGTTTCACATTAGATAATTTATATATAAACAAACAGCAGCTCTGTTTCTAGGGTTGCCAGACTGGTCTTATGTGATGCTTACTGGCACATAAGTCCCTTGAGTTATGAAACCATATCTAAAATAATGAAACAGAATTTTAATTTGCAATTACAAGATAAATGAGCAGTTAGATGACAAGAGCAAGACCAGGCTATTACTTCTATCTGTTACCTACCGGTTTCCCCTTCATTAAGAGTCTGATCCATTATACATATTCTAACGCTCTTCTCTGTCTTAGGCTATTGGCCTGACAATGGACAAGGGAATGGTGTACTCCTACTTGTGTGACAACAGTAGTAACCCAATTTGGCTAAAAGCAGCCTGCAGCACGGGCACTGTGAACATGCTTCTGCATAGAATCAGCCCTGACATGGTGGTAAAGCAGGTGGGCTACACTGACATAGATGTGATCATGAACAGAAAAGGTTATAAATGAGTCGGATATATTTGTCTTGTGTGCACTTTTCTGTTGTTTCCACTTTCTTCATTTTCTTTTCTCAGTCCCTTACTCTTACCGTCTCTTATGCTTGCTCGGTTGTGCTCTACTGCCCCAGTTCCTAATTTGCATCCTCAAGTGCCACCTTCACTTGCAATTAAGATTCAGACTGCACCAAATAATTAGTCTGCAGCCACGAGAAGGCTGCTCATCTTAGCAACAAGCAAGTGCAACTCCCAGGTCGCACCTGGGTAATACAAACCTCAAGGATTCCCAATTAGCGGCGCCACCATGGTAGCCTTGTTTTGACGAGATAATTCCCAATCAGAAGCTGTTCGCTCACACTGTCATTACTCTGTGGGCTCACTCAAACAGGCAGCTGGACATCAATTAGTAATGTGGTTATGACATATAACAGTGATGTGCATGTGTCATATTACTAATGCATGTCACCTACAGATCAAGCGCCATGTTACACACGTGCTAATAACATGTAGTTTAGCGATAGTGATTTACCAGTTAACCTCAGCTTTCTGCTTCCATAACTGATTATAACATATCTAAAATTTCATGTACAGCTCATAGCAAAATTATTTACTTCATTAGAAAATACACAATATTATAAAGTAACAAACAGGTCTGTGTTGTTTTAAATCCCTTTTCGTTTGTATCAAAATATTAAAAAGATTTGACAAATACTATATTTTTCAATAAAAGACACCAAATTTTATATAACTTTACTCTAATGATTTATAATCTTATATCTAATCTAACAAAATTACATTTTATATAGCATAATTTGTGACTCCTGAATTAAGACTCTTATTCCATAGCAAATGAGAGAACGAGACAGATATACAGCAGTTTAATTTTGCATCTCTAATCATTGTAATCTCTTACCCATATCCTTCCTAGGTTCTCCTGGCCTGGAGTAAGCATGTTGCTCCACACGATGTGTCTTTCGCCAAAGGGCTGCTGCACAGTCTGATTGGAGGTTTATCCCCAGGAGACCCAGGCGGTTCCAACACCACAAGGAACCGCCGTAGCGTGGAGGGACTGCCACAAAATATTGATGAGGAACTGTAAGTACAGTATTGTCTCGCTTTAAAGGAGCTGATAAATCATTTGGAAAATATATTTTCCCCGAATAGGTCATTTAAAATATGATGAAAAATGTCTTTATCTTTTTTTCTTTTCTTTTACTTATTCTTCTCAAGATTGTACTAGAAACTGTCTTTTACCAGTTTGTCTTTGTCACCCTCTGCTTTCTTCACCTTAAAGTTTACCAACCTTAATATCAATTTAACAGTAAAACAAATTCTTCCCACAAAACAGGGGAGATATAAGACATATGTTTACAAATCAGTAAAACAGTTCTAAAGTCTGTTCCATTGTAATAGGAACACTTTGTGACCACCATGGTCGCCGTGTTTTGACGAGATAATTCCCAATCAGAAGCTGTTCGCTCACACTGTCATTACTCTGTGTGCTCACTCAAACAGGCAGCTGGACATCAATTAGTAATATGGTTATGACATATAACAGTGATGTGCATGTGTCATGTTACTAATGCATGTCACCTACAGATCCAGCGCCATGTTACACACGTGCTAATAACATGTAGTTTAGCGATAGTAATAGGAACACTTTGTGATCATGGCATTATATTTCGGCAGGTTTTTGGCCTTTGGACAAGTGGTGATGGATGTTGTAAAACTTGTCCCTGAGCTTGACATGGTTATCCAGAGCTTCCTCAGAACTGGCTTTCAGTCCATAATGACAGCAACACTGGCCCTGGACACTGTGGAAGGTAAGACTGCATAACATCCTGCTTACAGCCAGAGAGCGAGTCACAATCACGTGTCTTCAGTGCTGTTAAGGACAAAAGAGATTTCTTATTAGTACAGACAAAATTGTAGGTCAGGGTAGAATTGATTTTGATAGAAAATCTGTGCTAAAAGACACAAAAGCCAAACACAAACACTTACACAGCCCTGACAATCAAAGAGAAGAAGCAGATAGATAAAGAAAAAACACCCACACACACACACACAAATGTAAGTACATCTTCAGTGTAAGCAGCATTACCATACTGCCACAGTCATTATTGTGAATGTCACCTGGAGAGCACAGTGTGTTCTGGGTAACCTAGATATTGATAGAACTGTTCACACCCTTTCTCATGGGACGGCATGAAAAAAAGAAAGCACTAGAGGGGTTATCCTGTAGGCAATGGATACCCACACACACACACACACACACACACACACACACACACACACACACAAACACAAAGCAAGATTACAACACTTCATAAAGAGCTACCCCTTGGGATGTATTGTACCACAGAAATATTACTCATCTGGTTGACTGAACAGTTGTTTTGAATATGCAGCTTAAATTCTAAACCAACAATTCCATTAAATCAGTGAATATTAGAACAGTCAGTTGACCTGCTTTTGTCTCTGGTCGACACTCTCATTGCTTTGCAGAAATGTTGGACAATATCCTGAAAGATGCCAGGGGATTCAAATTGACTTTTACAACATTGCTGACAAACCAGACACAGGCAAGCGTATGGATCGGTCATGTCCTGGGTAGTGTTTTGGAAGTTGTTATGAAGGTATGTAATGATTGATCCCTTACAGTTATTATATTTTCACAAGCTTGATCTCATATTTTGTAGTGTCAGACAACAAGATGTGTTGTTGTCTGATATGTTAAAAAGGAAAATTCCAAACAATGACCTTGTTATTTTAACAAGCAAATGACGTTGATGATGATGTTTGAGGCTTCTGATGATGATAAGAAAAACAATAAAAGCAGGAAATACTCATTAAAGATTTTTTTTTTTTTTTTTACTAGACTCTGGTATCTGAAAATTTAACATGTGCGGACGTCCTGGGTCCCTTGGAGTTCCTCTTAGACTCTGAGACCATAAAGATTGAAGTGTGGAGAGAAGTGATCTGCCAAAACAGCTCTACTCTACAGCTATCTCTGCTGAAGGACTGGCTGCCTTTGATTCAGAAGGTAAATGTTATTCAAACCCATTTAAAGAATTTCACTCTGAAAGGATTTGTACCAGTTTTGATCAGAAAATGCCTGAATTGTGTGAAAAATATTGAAATTATTGGAGCCCGACTG